TACTGCTAAATTAAGGACGGCTAGCGCAGATAGCCCTCGTTTTGCTTTGCGCGAAATCCACAACAAACAAACAAACATGCACCTGTGGACAAGATGCTAGAATACCTATTATATGCGTTAAGTGGCGGTAACCTCCATCTTTGTTTTTATTTCCGTATAGGACATCGTAACTACGTGTGTAGCCGAACCAAAGAAAAAGGACCGTGTGAAGGAACCCATCATCGGTACTACTTCAGTCCGACATACCAGAGGTGTCATAAGTTCGTTTACAGTGGGTGCGGAGGCAACGAAAACAACTTTGAGTCTCTTTTAGACTGCGAGAGGTACTGTGGAGGAACCACAGGTCGTCCCGAGATTTCAGGTATTTCATTCATGCAAGACTTGAGGTTTATACAGCCTAGCACATCTGATTAATTCCATGTTCACATATTATAAGCCACACACATTTCAAGCTAATATATTCGTGTGGATTACTTAAGTATTAAACGTAGTCTGTATTTACATAGTAGATATAATTCATTATCTATCACACCTGGTTTATATCACTGCTATGATGTCTGTTAATATGTCTGTTCACCTGTTCTTGATCTTTGGAATTGCTATTATGGTGTCATATTTCTATTAGGAACTTGTTCCAAAGCCATATTATATATTTTGAGTATGTGCAGGATGGCCTTGTGGTTAAGGGTTCGAATCCCATCATGGAACATGCTCTTTCAATCGTGTGGGCGTTGAAATGTGACGGTTAATTTCACTTTTCGTTGGGTAAAAGAGTAGCCCTAGAGTTGGCAGTTGGTGGTGTTGATTAGCTGCCTTTCCCCAACATTATCACTTTTCTATTAGGGACGGCTACCTCAGATAGCCCTCTAGTAGCTTTTCGCGAAATTCAGGAAAAAAAATCGAATAGATATTCTCCCCCTTTTTTTTTGTCCATTCTCTGTATACGTTTGAACTAATGTCATTTTTTATGAACACGTTGACATGGATTATTTTTATTATTCATCAGGAATAACTAGTGGTTAAGTTTTAAGACAATTTTTGTGATCTTCTTCAAGGCCCTGACTTTTGCAATCTTCCCTATGAGCGAGGAACGTGTTTAGGCATATTCTACCACTTCTATTTTGACCCTGACGAAAAGAGGTGTCTGACGTTTGAATACAGTGGATGTGGTGGAAATAAAAACAATTTCTACACTCTTGATGACTGCAGAAGGGTGTGTCTGAGAAGTGATCCACCCGAGGAAGGTTATTTTGCTGGTGAGGAAGTCATATATTCAGTTATACTGATTTACATAACGTGTTTGTTATTTTTAGGGTTAATTTTATTTTTAAGCGTATTTGTTGTCATTAACTACAGGAAAACGTTTAGCTTTAGTGTGCTTTTTTTCTGGATATTTTTAGGGTTAATTTTATTTTTAAGCGTATTTGTTGTCATTAACTACAGGAAAACGTTTAGCTTTAGAGTTTAATTTTTTTCAAGGTTATTTTTCGGGTTAATTTTATTTCTAAGCGTATTTATTGTCATAACTACAGGAAAACGTTTAGCTTTAGTGTTTAATTTTTTCCCAGTTATTTTTCGGGTTAATTTTATTTCTAAGCGTATTTATTGTCATAATTACAGGAAAATGTTGGACTTTAATGCTTAATTTATCCCATAAAATATTAAACACTGAGTCAGTGAGTTGTAGTTAGTAACTTTCTTTATAAAGTTGTCTAAAACAAGACTGAAATTTATGGCGAAAGCGCCACCTGTTAACTCAATTTCTTGGAGAAAATGAAACATTTAAAATCCTGTTGGTGCTACGACGGTCCTCAAATGAGTGACAAAATATGTTTACAAAGAAAGATATGCATGCATATATACACGATTATAGATAGATGCAATTTTATTCACAACATAGCTTTTTCCAACTTTATCCAATTTTTCTAAAAAGGACACATTAATGTTAAAGTAATGATAATATTGGATGAGTATGAACTTAACCAGACTTTACCGAGAACGACTATTCCGAGGCTAGGTTTTTGTAATACATTGCTGGTTTGGTTTCTTTGAGGCGTAGAATGAGAAATAAAATAGCTAAAATAGACCTAAATGCTCATATTTCTGGCTTTAATGTGTGTGTGTTCTCCAGTTCCAGTATTTTGTTCACTACCACAAGATGCAGGTTTCTGCACTGGCAACTTCACTCGTTACTACTACGACACCTCTCGGCAAGGATGTGAATCTTTTATTTATGGCGGTTGCGGAGGAAATGAGAACAACTTTAAGACTCGAGAGTTGTGCGAGAACACGTGTGAACCTACACCAGTTGCTTGAAGTAGGTCTGAGTATTCGTATTTAGTTGTTCGTGTAATTATCACAGGAAAAGCTCGAGAAAGTTCATATTTTGTTACGTAGTTTCAGATAGATTATTGTAGCAAATTTTTACAATTTCGTGTGTTTTATGTTATGGTTAAAAACAATAACACAATCTACTATAAAGTAACAATCAAATTAGAAGTAGTGCAGTAACGAACGTAAGGGTTCAGTTACTTGGCCAATGTCCAAAGCATAAATGTAATTTTAGACTTATTCTTACGTCAAAAAAGATAATAAAGCCTACTATAATTGACGTTCAAAATAATGTCCTTTATCTATATTGTAATTTACCAGAATTTTTTTATTTAATTAGTTTTGAAGATCAACTATCAAAAACCACTAAATATTTTATTCTATAATATTTGTATAGATCAACTGTTCAGTAATACTAAATATGTTATTATATAATATTTGTATAGAT